AGAGCACATATGTGCACACATCTGAGACGTGTCAGTGGGTAAGACCCTTTCCGAATACGGCGGCACCGTTGCCCAGTTTATCGGTACCCTCCGCGTGTTGGCAGACAATTATAATGGACTTTGGGTTTGGTCTGCCGAAGAACTCGGCAGGCAACACGGGTGTAGTGGTCTTTGTCGACCGTTTGAGCTGGATGGCTTATCTTGCAGAGGTACCGGACACCATCGACGGTGTCAGTACAGCGACACTATTTGCGGATCGTATCTTTCGAAAACATGGACTCCCGAGTAAATAGTATCTGACAGAGACCCATGCTTCACTGGAAAGTTCATGTCTACGGTGCTGGGCGAATGTTGACTATGTCAACAGCGGATCAACTGAAAGACGATGGTCAGACTGAGCGCTTGAATTGCGTCGTTAAAAACGTTCTTTGCATCGTCTGTGCTGAGTCGCCGAAATGCTGGAGCGCTATGTTGCAACTCGTAAAGTCTGCTCTGAAGAATGCAGTGCATGTGTCTACCAGCTAAACGCCGTTCGATGTGAACGGACTTGTTAATCATTGCGTCTCGTTGACCTTGCCATCCCATGGCTCAGGGCTTGGTGGGGGGAATAGTCGAGCGGCTAGCTGATGAGAGCCTCGTCATGTGCGTAAAGAAGATGATGACTTCCAGAGGAAGTGTCGTACGACACGTTCGCGATGCGATGGCTAAGCCAGCACATGCAGAATGAATATGCAGATCGAAGAGGTAGAAGAAATGTTGAAAACATTGAGGTCGGAGACGTGGCTTTAATAAATGCTAAAAACTCTCTACACATGAAGTTTCTGCTGTCTTTAAGACAAAGCTCCGTCCACGGTTTATCGGACCTTTAACTAAAGGACGTGGCCAAGCGGGGCCGCAAGTGTACCTAAACCTCCCAAGAAGGATGCGCACCCATCCGGTATTTTATGTGGGCTGGCTCATGCAGTCCCGGGTTAGGCGCGAGTGATCACGGAAACGGTGGCACTGGGCTCCACAGGCGCTCGACCACCCAAAAGCTGAACCAGCAACTGGTTTTGAGCACGGAGTGCAACAACTTCCGTTTCCAGCGGCGCCAGGCGCTCGAAGTGACGCATTCGTCTGCTCGACGGCTAGAAGTGCTCCGACAGAGCACGATAATCTTCAACGTGAGGTAGTACGTGCACAAAGTGCCTTTTTGTTCTTGAGGTCTTCCGTACAGCGGTATGCAACCTCGGCAAGATGCTCAGTGGAGCATTGATCGCGACGGACTTTGTCCTCATGAGCTCGATGAGCGTCGCGAGTCACCGGACAGCGATCGCCTGAGTCGTCATTGTCTGCCGCCGACTCTTCTCGACGAGAATGACGGCTTCCACTACCACGTGGAGCGGTCGTCAACAGGGTCAAAATAAGTATCTTGTGAAGTGGCGAGGATACCCGACTCCAACTCGTGAAAGTTTGAGATGCCACTTCGGCAAGAATGCCCAGACGTCGTGGACGCTTATGATCAGATAGATCATGACGCTTTGTGTCGTCGTGCGCTCCGCGCTTCTCGGCAAAAGCCAAGGTAGCCAAAGGTCCATGAGCTCAGCTCAAGTTATGGCCCTTCGCTGATGTGATCGTAGATCTACTCGTGCAGGAAAGCACAGAGCTTGCGGAGTGTGATGGATTATTCCATATGTCGAAGGGCACAATACGCAGGAAATTGGTGTTGCGCCTGAAGTTTGGCAAACTCAAATCGACAGTGGCACTATACGCGCATGTCTATTTCTTTGTGGCTCCGCTGTAAGTTAGATAGAGAGCAGATTTGCGGTGCCGCTGCACCCATCACTCAAAAAGCTCTTCATCATCTGCAGCGGTTTCACTTTGGGCGAGCACCACAAGAATCGTCCGCATTGCGGGTATAATGAGCGCCTCCTCTTTGAGCTCGAAGTCGAGCGCGATACCAATCCATTGGGATTTTTGAGGTACCAGAATGCGAGCTCGGTGAGCTTTCTGTTCGTCAAGCTCAGCTTGTGGAGTGGCCGAGGAACCGACTACGTGGACGCCCGACGATCGATTAATCGCGTTCTTCAGTAGCGAGATCCACCGATCGGAAGTTGTACTCCACACTAGGGTCTGAGACCGACCGTGGAGTCGAGTGCAGAAGAGCCGCCCCGTGAGCAGCCTCCGATTGCTGCTTCTGTGCCTCGTCGAGGCGATTGGTGATAATACCACTTCTTCCAGAGGGCGAGAGGTCGGGGGACAGACACGGCATCCGCAAGGTTCAGCAGAGCTCACGTCGCTCCGCTAGCGCACCTCGCCCTCCTTTTCCTCCCATTCTGGGAAAGAAGTATTCGACTCGTAACAGACTTCCTCCAGCTCCTCGACGAGGTAATCCATAGCGCGGTGCGCGGTCGGGAGTAGACATCGCGTCTTTTTCTTGGTCATGTGACCCTGTCGATGACAATGTGCTGCGCAGTTCTCGGTTGCCAGACCTTGGGCTGCGCTTCCCTTGAAGCGACGGACGAGCTGTTCGAATTGCAGGAAACGAAGAAGGGCTCTGCCCGCGGGCGCTCTCGGGACCAGCGAGGCCGGGTGTTTAATACTTATAGACACAAGGCATATTGAGCAGAGAATACGTGAAGAAGGTCCTGGGGATGTAAAGGTGTCTTAGACACGCGAGTCTCGTACGAGGCGACAGTTAAATGCGATTGTTGGTATTCACAATTTTGATGGGGTAGAGTATAACGCGGTTACACGTACCCGGGTATAAAGGGGTGGTTCACTTAAGATGGTGTGACCAGACAATGGCGTGGCTACATATCAACAAGAAGCCACTACGTGGCGAGACTGCCAGAAGTTCTGCATATTGATAAGATTTTACTATCTAATCAGGAAAATCTATAGATTTAGATATAGGCGGCTCTGCCGCAAGTAAAATACAGTTTGGATTTTGAGCAGAAGAGTGTGTTTATCTTGGGTTAAGGTTGTGGGACTCTTGGAGCTAGCGGGTTGCGATCCGGTACACTCGAATGGCTAGTAAAGAGCGAAGGTCGGTGACCTTATGTAAGCTTCCTTTATGCAAAGAGATACGGCAGCCCCGCTGCGTGTCCACTCTTGTTGTTTTGATGGATTGGGGACTGTCGGTTGCTCAGTGAATATTGATTTATGACAACTATGTCATGTGTGCGGATCACGTTTCGAAAGATGATTGTGGAAATGTACTTAAGAGGTCAAATTAGAGCTTCATCCCAACCATTTTTTTTAAAATGTTATTGTCTGTTTTAATAAATAAGCTATCGATTTGACACATCTTCATGGTGTAGAAACAGTCCCATAATCCGAACATAGCGTTTTTATAAACATGATAATTTAGGTAATGACTGAAGTAAACATCCTTTTCTTATGTCTATCTTCTGTATGAGGCAAAAGCTAAGGCGCGGCACTTAGATCCCTTTTTCGGCAAACTGCAATCGCAAAAGTGTATGAAGCGCATGCTGATAGCTATAAGCCTTCCAAAACGTGCTTATCTCACCCGAGATGTCTCGACTTGCTGATGCTGAAGCCGATCGTTAATGTTTCGGCTCCAATCCATGACCAGCTATTGAGCAATCATTGACATCCAACTCTTTATACGCGTATGTTTGCAACTTTTAAAAGCTCATAATTAGTTTTAAACGTATACTTATTATTGCTTCTTTAAATCGAATGTATGTTGGACGATTGCGAAGTGTGGCGCTAAGGCTATCTTACAAATAATGCTCGAAATGCATGCTGTCGTAAGTCTATCGCATCGAAGACAAATGAGGCACACGATGAAAGTGAAGTAGAAACGTATGTACTATAGAATGCTCCTGTGCAAACTGACTGTACGCACTGTACTCCTATTACATTTATTCCTTATAACTTTGTCGTCATGCGGTGTCTGCATCATGAGGGGGAAAAAGTAGTTTTGGAAACATGCGAGAGATGACGTGAAACTCGTCCAGGCTCACTCGACCATCGCCGTCACTATCAGCTTGACGCAAAATCGTTTGAGCTTTTCTACGCACTTGATCATCCGTCGAAACGAGATAATTTGCTCTCAAAATGTTTACAAGTTCTTCTTCGGTGATAAAACCGTTGCGATCTTTATCAGAGATTTCAAAACAAAAGCGTACGTGCTGGGTGCGGTCGACGCCACCGATAAAATTGACCGCAGCAAGAAGAATTTCGCTTAAGTCTGCACCAATGTCGCTTTGATAGTCGGGGGTGAACAAAGCAAAAAGGCGTCGATTTTCGCCAGTAGGCTCTAGGTTGAATAGAGAGCAAAAATCGTCAAAGTTTAATGCGTGGTGCTGCATATGTCGGAACGTTTTGGCAACATGCTCCAGTGTCCCAAGACTTGGATTGGTATTCTCGACGAAATGCCGCAATAGTTTCGTTTTCTCCCTTTTGAGTTCTTGCTGTCCCTCGTTGTTCTTAGAAGTAATGGCTAAAATGTCCAGTGGCTCTTGGCTTTCAGGCTCTGCCGTGGCCGTCCCAAATTCGGAACCACCAGGGTCAGGATGTAGTGCCATTCGCCGAAATTCGTCGAAGCTTACTTGGCCATCTCCATCCTTATCGCACAATCTCATCATTTCGTCCACCTCTGCATCGGTAATGATCTCACCCATACAGATGAGAAGATGGCGGAGTTCGGCTGCGCCAATATAAGCGTTTTTATCAATATCAAGAAACTGGAAAGCACTGATTAGCTCTTCCTCGGAAAATTCATTAACATTGTCACCGACAGGTTCGCGTGATTGGTAATGTGTTAGGGCCGTGGCGCTCGTTGCCGTATTCTCTCTCTCGTCTGACATTTTCGAAATGTTCTTAGCTGCATTTTTTGTCAGACGTTCCTTCTCCGTAAAGCTGTCCATATTAGCTTGGTGTTGTGGAAAGGCCACACCTGCAGGACCTTTGAACCTCATTTCAAGGCGTAAGTGGCCTGCAAAATCCCTGTCACCAAATCTACCCTTTACCCAGAGTTTAAGCCAATCGTCTACATAACCATAGCGAAATATAGGCAGCAACGAAAGTGATGCTGAGCCGATGAGTTCATCAGCTCCAACAATATCTTCATCCCACACCTCCACCTGTAGATTGTACTGGTCAACAATGTCGAAATAAAATGTTTCGTTATCCCATTCCGGTTCACTTCCACCGTCCAAATCAGTCTTGGTCTTCTTTACAACTTGTGTAACTCTACCTTCTAGAGTGAACTTGACGTATGGATCTTGCCGTCCGACTACGTCAACACTTCGTAACTGTTTGGCAGCATGACAAGTTACTGTTAATTCACCTGCTGGAAAAAACTCAGTCTGTATCAAGACTTCTCCGGTCAATATTCCCTTGTATTGTAACGGAATCGTATGGTCCTGTTCCCCACGTTGGGCCATGAAGTGCAGTACAGAAAATGTTGTCTCACCAATCAGATCGTCGCTACCAATATCGTGGTCAAATACGCGAAACTTCATACGCTGTGTCCATAGGTCATCTCCAAACCAAAAGAGTAGCTCTTCTTTTCCGAAATACGGGTTACATCCACCACGCTCGATAGTTTTGCTTCGCTTAGCAAATTTGCCAATTGAAAGTTGACAATACGGATCTTGCTTTCCGATTAGTTCCATGCTTTTTAAATTTCTACCTTCCACCAGCACAATGGAAAGCATACCAACAAGCGCTTTTTCCAACATTACTTTGATCTCAATCACACCACTAAAAGCTTTGAGCAAATATATTGATTTGACTTCTTGGTGCGGCTTACCATCAAAAAAGCGCAAAGCCGAAAAATTTGCTTCCCCTAACAACTCGTCTGAGAGCAAACTTTCGTTCAACAATTCCATTTTAATTGGCAAGTCTCCATCAGTTAAAAGCTGAATTGGGTCTGTAATGTCGAACGATATGACTTCTTCGTGCAAGTTGATAAGTGATCCACTCTTTTTTAGTGTCTTGCTGCGTTTGATTAAAGAAGAAGATGGATTTTTACCTATGGCAATTTTAACGAATGTGTTAGCGCTAAATCGTCCAAATTTCCCAGATTTTTCAGTATGTCGAAGCTCACGCGCCTCCACAAGGGTGAAACTGAGTCGCCCGCGATGCAGAAGCCCCTGGAGAGCAGCGTGACTGGCAGTGGTCTCATTTTCAACTTCAATATCCGGCCCCTTTTTAGCTGGTAGTAAAGGGGGGGGGCTTTTTGGTGGCTGTGGTGGTGGTTCCTTCGGGGGACCAGGTGGTGCACCTCTTGGGGCGCTTGGTTGTCCTGGTAGAGTTATTGATGGAGATAATCCTGGCAAAGATGAATGATTTGGTGGATGACTCGAAGGAGGGACATTTCTCGAAGACAGATGCCCCACAGGCGAACTTTTTGAAGAAGGCGGATTTTTCGAAAGAGGGACCGAGCTAGGATCTTGCTTTGGGGCTAAGCGTGCAGGACTCAACAATGCTGCAGGCTTGGCAGCTGGTGTGGGTGATACCTTTGTATTCTGTAATGGAGGCGGGGCTTTCGGCGGGGGGGGTACGTTGCTAGTAGTTGCCATCTTCTTTATAATTCTCGATGTGATATCTGTTCAGCAACTCTTGAAAATGACTGCATTGACCGTACTTCTACAAGATACAGTACCTTTTTTTCTATTTGACTTTCCTAAGAGTACCTTATAATATAGAAGGGTACGTACATAATCTATCGTTATACACTGATAAAACTCGGAGGGTCACATGAGCACTCTCCCAAGGGAGCTGTGGTGTGGCATACACCACAGCTACTAGATGGGTACATGCATTAAGGAACACCTATAAATATGTTCAGTCTTAAATCTACCTAAATTTGGTTAACGTTCCTCTGACCAAGGATCTGTGAACTGCCGTTCACTTA